TCTCAGTACTGTACTTGCTCTTCCAGTTTGCATTAGTGCAGTCAGCATCGATGTCCTTTATTAAGTTTATTAACTTAACTTTATTAAGTTTATTATTGTAACTCATGCTTATATTTACACTCAATGTAATTTTTCACCATTTGGCTAAGAGCGTCCGTGGAGCACATTAATAAGCAGACGCGTATGGAGTTAAGGAAGCAGAGGTGCCACAGGTTTGTTTTGGGAAGGGCTGGGATTGTCAATTTTTTATCTTAAAACACCGCCTGGCTGTGTCAGGTGAGCTTTATTATTCAATTTACAGTCATACAGCATTTAATGAAGCCGGCTGCGCAGGCAGTGTGTGGAGAAGCAGTCGGTTTTGCCGGCGGGGGGGCCGAGCTCTTGACCTGCCCACATGCTGAGGCTGCTGTGGAATTTCTGCAGCATCTTCTGCTCTCCCTTCCTGTTGAAGCCTGCAAATCTTGCAAGACATGATGTAGGTGTGCAGAAGATTCTTTTTTACATTTCCTTTGCGCATCTGGAGAAATTACTTTAGAGAAGAAAAAAGAGGAGGCTGGGAGCACTGGTGCAGCCGATCGATGGTCACACACCTCTCCCTCCTCCAGCGCCCCTCAGACACGACACCCCCACACTGTTAATATTAGGGCACCTCACACCTCCTGTGGCCTGGAACCTGGGAGGCCTGTAAAGACCGAGGGGAACAGCATTACAGTGGTCCAACTGGGATCTCAGGGCTCAGCCTGTCCCGGGGAGTCTCTCTCCGTGTTGCTGGGAAGACCAGGCGGAGAGCGAGTCTTCTTGACTGGAGGTGTGCAAGGCTGTTTCAGTGTCTGCTCCAGAGTGTGCGTTCTGCTCCGTCTTCGCTGTACCGTGCGTCTAGCGCTCAGCTTTCGAAAGGTTTGTGACGAGCTGCATGGTGTTAATCACGTCTGATTCAATCTTTGTTACTATGAAATGTGGGTCAGATTCTTATCTCCTGCAGAATGTTCTTTCAAAGGAAATCTTTTATCTGTGCTGAACAAACAGATCCCAGTGTCAATCAAGATGTTTGTGAACATATCCCTGCCTGCTACACAAGTAGGTTCCAGATCCGGTTTTCTTTTAAAGTTTATTATTACACAGCTGCTCATTGCTTTGGGGATGCGTTAGCTGTTATTTAAGTTAAGTATCTTGGATTTTCAGTCTGTCCTGCCAATCTGAGACACTGTCCATTAGAAACATGTGCAAGGTGACAAACAGGCCCGGTGGGCAGCTAGAAACTAGATGATCCCAGGATCTCCCCCAGCTGTTTCTCCAGGGAAGCCAAGGTATCAGCTTGTTACAGACCCCTGCAACCCCTTGTGTAAAGTGCCTCCTTTTCTCATCTGTATGTACCTGCATGTAATTTCCTCTTGTGTCCTGTTAAGAGGTCTGCTGGGTTGACTGTCTCTGCCTGTGAGGAGTTTGAGCAATTGGCTGTATCATGTATCATGTTTTGTGGTCAGTGTCCTCCTCCGTCCCTGTCCCAGCAGGTGCTCTGGTCCTCTGAGTGCGCCTGGCAGTGGGAAGTGATGTGTTGACTTTCTTGTGTCCTTCCAGGTGAGAAGAGATCTTATGAGCAAGATGGCTGTGTGCCCTGCCAAGATGACCGCTATCAGCCAAAGCCCAATCACAGCAAGACCTGTTTGAAGTGCTCGGTGTGCAATAAGAGTAAGAGCAAATCCTCTTCTTCTTCCTCGGTCCGGGACAGTGTGCCTGTCCATCCCAGAGGTCGCCTGTCTCTTCCGCTCGGACTCACTGGTCCAGAGACACACGGCTAACAGGCTCAGTTCAGGCTCGCCCCCGGGCTGCCATGGTTCTGTCCAAAGAGCTGGTCTGGATCAGAACCAGCGCCCTGGGTCTGCATGGGCCCGACCACATCAGTTCCCACAGTCCCGGCTGGTGCAGGCTTCGAACTCCAAATGCTCTCCACCTGTTCCAGGAAAAACGTCTGCTTGTCTGTCTAACACAGAGGTTCTTTTCCTGCAGATAAAGGCAGCGAAGAAGTTTCTCCCTGCACGCGCACGAGAAATGCCATCTGTAAGTGTCTGCCTGGGTTTGCTTCTCGAGACTCTAACAATGAGACCTGCACCTGTCAGAAAGGATATGAAATGGATGCCAAAGGTAAGGGCTCACTACATACCTGCAGAAACACTTCCAGTCACACCCTC